AAATTCTCATGACTTTATTGCTGTATCAGTATAATTTCTTGATCAGAAATTGATCTAGTTACCGTAACTTATTTGATTTAGTATGCCATGTGAGTCTTGGTAGATTGACATATATTTATTTGTTTGTTTATATTTATTTATTTTTTTATTTGGGTCAGGGTCTCACTCTGTTGCCCTGGCTGGGGTGCAGTGGCACGATAATGACTTACCATAGCCTTGACCTCCTGGGCTCAGGGAAGTCTTCTGCCTCCGCTTCTTGAGTAGCTAGGAGCCACCACACCGAGCTAATTTTTTTATTTTTTTGTAGAGGCAATATCCTGCTATGTTGCCTAAGCAGATCTTGAATGCCTTGGTTCAAGCAATCCTCCTGTCTTGGCCTCCCTATGTGCTGGGATTACAGGCATGAAACACTGTGCCCAGCTGGCATTTATTTGGAACATAAATTTTGGCTAAGTTCTGGTTGAGAGATATAAAACATGTATTCAAGCCGAACTCGGTGGCTCAGCCTGTAATCCCATGCTTTGGGAGGCTGAGGTGAGTGGATTGCCTGAACCCGCGGGTTCAAGACCTGCCTGGGCAACTTGGCGAGACCTCATCTCTACAATAAAAATCAAAAAATTAGCTGGGCGTGGTAATGTGCGCCTATAGCTCCAGCTACTTGAAGGCTGAGGCGGAAGGATCGCTGGAGCCCAGCAGGTCGAGGCTGCAGTGGCCGGGAGCGGCCACTGCACTCCAGTCTGGGTGGCAGAGTGAGACTCCAACTCAAAAAAAAAAACAAAACAAACATGTATTGGATCAACTCTCAATGATTATACTTTAAAAGTATTTAGAAATGAATCTTAAAAACCACTTATATTGTATAACATGTCTATTAAAATGTTCTAGATATTAAAAGAATAATATTTTTATGCAGTTATTTTCCTATACTGCATAAAAAAGACTATAAAAATAAAAAAAAGACTATAATTTGGGGGGAAATAGAATGGAAGGGAGAGGATGGGAAAAGTTGGGGGAAGGACGGTATTAATTTCTTAGGGCTGCCTGCCATCATAAAATACCACACACTGGTTGCCTTAACACAGCAGAAATTTATTCTTTCACAGTTCTGGAGATTAGAAGTCAGAAAGCAAGGTTTCAGCATGGCCATGCTTTATTAAAGGCTCTAGAGGAGGATTCTTCTTTCTTCTTTCAGCTTCTGATGGTTGTGTACTATTCTTGCTATCCATTGACGTATAGGTGCATCACTCCCATCTCTGCCTCTGTTGTCACTCTCTGTGTATATCTGTGTCCAAATTTCCCTCTTCTTAAAAGAACACTGGTCATACTGGATTTAGGTTTAGGGCCCACCCAATCCAGGATGACCTCAACTTGATTCACAGATTCTGGGTGGACATGAATTTTGGGAATACTATTCGACCCAGTACAGAGGGATCCAAATTTAATTTATATTTTGATAAGACTAATTTATGTAAAGCAAACAAGTAAGGTACATTTTATGTTTTCAAAAAAATCCACAAAACTTATTTTTGGTTGGGCACAGTGGCTCATTCACATAATCCCAGCACTTAGGGAGGCTAAGGCAAGAAGATTGCTTGAGCCCAGGAGTACAAGACCAGCCTGGGCAACATAGCGAGACCTCATCTCTACAAAAAATTTAAAAAATTAGCCCAGTGTGGTCACTTATGCTTGTAGTTCCAGCTACTCAGGAGGCTGAGGCAGAGGGGTCACTTGAACCCAGGAGGTCGAGGCTGCAGTGAGCTAGGATTGTGCCATTGCACTCCAGCCTGGTGACAGAGTGAGACTCCAACTCAAAAAAATAAACATTTATTTTACTTTTCACTACATGGGCCTAGGTATCTAGTATTTACCAGAGATGCATAATGGAATATTTGGTTATGAGACATCTATTAATATAGATGTGGAGTCAGAAAACATTCCATATTACCTCTTGATAACACACTATTTATAGAACCAAACTAGTCTTTTCTTGAGAGTTTTAACTGCTATTGACTTTAAATAGTACTTGAAATGTTCTTATTTATTTTATATTCACAACACTGAACAGTGCCTGGTGCTGATTTAATTGGATGAAGAATGAATTAATGAAATGATGTGTATGTGTGTTATATATGTGTTTTTGTGTATCTCCATTGAAGGTTGATCAGCAGGGGAATGATATAGGGAATTTCATTTAGCAATTATATTCTCCATTCTTTTTATTTATTTATTTATTTTGAGTCCGTCTCATTCCTGTCACCCAGACTGGAGTGCAGTGGAATGCTCACAGTCACTGCAGCCTTGATCTGCTGGGGCTCAGGTGATTCTTCCATCTCAGTTTTCCAAGTAGCTGGAACCACAGGCATGCGCCACCCTTCCCAAATAATTTTTTAAAAAATTTATTATAGAAATGGGGTCTTGCCGAGTTGCCGAGGCTGGTCTCAAACCCCTGGACTCAGACAATCCTCTCACCTCTGCCTCCCAAAGTGCTGGGATTACATACAGGCATGAGCCCCCACTCCCAGCTTCCACTCTTTCTTAAAATGTAACTGGTAGCATCTCTCATTCTATTCTACACTTTGCTTTTATTACTTATATCATTCCATATTAGAACGTAAGTGCTATGATTACATAGCATTCTGATGCTTAAATATATCATTATTTATTTAGCTAGTCTCCCTTTTTAAATTTTTTTTTTTAGTTGGTGTCTCACTCTGTGGCCCAGGCTGGAGTGCAGTGACACCAACACGCCTCCCACAGCCTGGACTTCCTAGGCCCAGGTGATCCTTCCACCTCAGGCTCCCGAGTAACTGTGACTACAGGTACACGCCATCACCCAGCTAATTTTTTTGTAGAGATAAGGTCTCTCTGTGTTGCTTAGGCAGGTCTCGGCCTCCTGGGCTCAAGCAATCCTCTTGCCTCAGCCTCCCAAAGTGCTAGGATTACAGGTGTGAGCTATCATGCTAAGCCTCTTTTTAAAATTGTTTTGTTTTGTTTGTTTGTTTTTTGTGTTGGAGTCTCACTCTGTCGCCCAGACGCTCCTGGCCCCTGCAGCCTCGACCTGCCGGTCTCTGGCCATTCTTCCGCCTCAGCCTTCCAAGTAGCTGGAACTACAGGGGCGCGCTACCATGCCCGCTAATTTTTGATTTATTGTAGAGAGGAGGTCTCGCCAAGTTGCCAGGGTGGGTCTCGCACCCGCGGGCTCAGGCAATCCACTCGCCTCAGCCTCCCAAAGTGCTGGGATTACAGGCTGAGCCACCGAGCCCGGCCTTTAAAATTTTTAACTGTGATATAATATATTAACATAAAATGTGACTATTCTTAAGTGTACAGTTTAGTATTGTTAAGTATATTCACATTGTTGTCCAAAAATTTTTCTATTTTTATTTATTTATTTATTCCTTGAGTTGGAGTCTCACTCTGTCACCCAAACTGGAGTGCAGTGGCCCCTCCCGGCCATCACAGCCTCGACCTGCTGGGCTCCGGCGATCCTTCCACCTCAGCCTTACAAGTAGCTGGAACTACAGGAGCACGCTACCACACACAGCTAATTTTTGATTTATTGTAGAGATGAGGTCTCGCCAAGTTGCCCAGGCAGGTCTCGAACCCTCAGGCTCAGGCAATCCACTTACCTCGGCCTCCCAAAGTGCTGGGATTATAGGCTGAGCCACTGAGCCCAGCCACCAAAACTTTTTCATATTGCAAAACTGAAACTCTATACTCATTAAACAGCCATTTTCCCCTCCCCCAGTCCCTGTCAATCACCATTCTACTTTCTGTTTCTACAGATGTAAGCTAATCTTTCTATTTAGTTGTTTTCATCTTTGCCTTTGCAAACAAAGCTGCAATAAATAACCTTGTATTTGTGTCATTTTGTACATAAATTAGTCTATCTATAGGATTAGTTTCTAGCAGTGGAATTGCTGGGTAAAAAAGGTTTTTTTTTTGCATTTCTTAATTTTGGAATATAGTGCAAAATTGGCTTCCAAATAGGTTTCCCAATTCCTATTTCATTCAGAACTTTTACACACAGGTGGCTTGACTTCTTTCCTTGTACCAGTGAGTGAGATAAGGGTAAGGTAAAAGTGAATTCTAATGTAGAATCATCCTTTGGTAATCCATGTCAGGCATTTGGGGAATCCTAGAAACTTCTTTGTAGAATTATGATGTTTGAAAACTGATGCTCAATTTTGTTTTTTCTGTGAAGTAAACTTACTAGAAATAAGGTATAACTACATAGAAATAGTACCATTTCCCATACAGTATACATAAAGAATTTGGTGCAATTATTTTTTTAATCTGGTGACTTGAAGTAAATTAATATTTTTATTAGTGTTCTTATTGTAAAGTGAAAATACATACTTTTATAATATTTGAACTTTTTTATAAAGCAGAAATTGAAGGGTTCTGGAAACTACTTCCCATTGATGATCAGTATTAATGATTTGAAATTCATTTTTCTAGACTTTTTTCAGTGCATTGAATAACACATAAATTGTATTCCTGATTTTAAATGATGGGATCATGTTATATATACTGTTTTTGTGATTTGTTTTGTTAGCTGATAATATGCCTTTTTTGGGTTAGGGTCATAGAGATACCCATTTTTAAAATGGATTTATACTCTTTTATTATATCATAATTTTCTTGTCCATTCCCCTGTTGGTAAACATTTAAATTGTAATAGATATCTTATATATATATATATGTTTAATTGGAAAAATGTTTCTGTAGGATAAATTCTGGACATAGAACTTCTAGGCCAAAGATATGACAATTTTATATTTTAATGGTGACCATTTAATGTTTTAATGGGTTTTTGGAGGGTCAATAAAATGTCATATCAATGTTTTGATTTTTATAGGAAATAAACTTAGTTCTGAACTTTTAGTCATTGTAGTTAGGTGACATATCATTAATGTATACCATTTCTTAAAAACATAAGGTTTCTGATAATATAAAAATCTTTAAAATGATGGCTTTGAAACTTTGTATTCTTACAGTGATGGAATGGGGGGAAGATATTAAGGCAGTTTCAAAAGATGAAGCAGTGATGCTGGTGAATCATCAGGCAACAGGAGATGTATGCACACTGATGATGTGCCTCCAGGACAAAGGACTGGTAAGCTATCCTGAAGCAATCGGTAGACATCCAGTAGGGGAAGGTTTAACAAGAATTCATTCAAATATCTTACTGTGGTTTACATCATAGACTTTAATATGTATACTTGGACTATAGAAAATATTAAAAAGAACAATTATATTATTCTAAGATACTCTAGAAGTGGGATTTAGAGACCTTAAAAAAACTGGGATAATGTGAATTATGTCTCAGTAAAACCGTTTTAAAAAATAATAACTGGATGAAAGCAAAGTTAATATAGTTCAAATCGAGGATGACCTTGAGGTGATGCAGCAGATTGCCAGTTTGAGAAATACAAACACAAAAAGCTGTTTTGACCCAGTGCAGTAGTGTCATCTATAGTCCCAGATACTTGGGAGGCTAAAGTGGGAGGGTCATTTGAGCCAGGAGTCCTGGGCTGTAGTGTGCTATGCCTATCAGGTATCTGTACTAAGTGGAGCATAAAAATGGTGACTGGTGACCATCCAGGAATGAAGGACCACCCAAGGAGGGATGAACTGACCCAGGTCAAAATGAAACGGGTCAAAACTCATGTGCTGATCAGTAGTGAGATCGTGCCTATGAATAGCTGCTGCACTCTAATCTGGGCAACATAGCAAGACCCCATCTCTTTAAAAAAAAAAAAAAGTACTGCTTAAAATAAAATAAAATTGGTCAGTGAATAATGTGATCTTGGGGATCTTTAGCCAAAAGAAAATAAGGTCAATGTTATTTTGGATTTCATTTACAAAGTAAATTGAAAGGGAAGATATTAGGCCCATTTTATTCATTGTTCCCAAAGCTATGACTGAACTGTTGATTTTTCTGAGTCAGAGTCTCATCTGTTACCCAGGCTGCAGTGCAGTAGCATGCTTATAGCCACCGCAGTCTCTACCTACTGGGTTCAGGTGATCCTTTTGCCTCAACCTTCCAAGTAGCTGGAACCAGAGGCATGCACCACTATGCCTGGTTGATTTTTTGATTTATTGTAGGGACAAGGTCTCACCATGTTGCTCAGGCTAGTCTCAAACTCCTGAGCTCAGGTAATCCTCTTGCTTCTACCTCCAAAAGCGCTGGGATTACAGGCCATCACACCTAGCCTGAACTGTTGATGAACCACCGCATCTGGCCTGAACTGTTTATTTTACATTGCTTATATGGATAATAAAATAGAGCTATAAATTTGGTGGATTTAAAAAATGAATTTGGGTCAGGCACGGTAGCTCATGCCTGTAATCCCAGCACTTTGGGAGGCGGAGGCATGAGGATTACCTTAGCCTAGGGGTTCAAGACAAGCCTGGGCAACTAGGCGAGACCTCATCTCTACAATAAATCAAAAAAATTAGCCAGGTATGGGGCGCATGCCTGTGGTTCCAACTACTTGGAAGGCTGAGATGGAAGGATTGCCTGAACCCAGCAGGCTGAGGCTGCAGTGACTGTGAGATGCCAGTGCACTCAGCCTGGGCAACAGAGTGAGACTCCGACTCAAAAAAAAAAATTTTTTTTTAATTAATAAATTTGGTCTTTATCATTTAAAGAATTACCACCTTAGAAATTTAAAGAGGTTATATTCATAGAAAACTAAACAAATAGAAAATATATAAAATTAATGGAGTTAATGTTTGACCTAATAGTAAAGAAACAAATCAATTGATGTTCATAGTGTTTAATAGTCATGATCAGTGACTATAAGAATTGTAGACACCATCCTATAAGACACCATTCTTCTCATCAAGGTGCTAATAGTCCAGTGGCAGGTAGAAGAAGAGTGTCAAGAGCAGTACTTAATTGCAAAATAAGAGGACTTCAGTTGAGGGTAAGCATACCCTGTGCCTGATGGACATAGAAAAACTTTGTGAAAGGGAGAAAATATAAAGTTGGGCTTGAGGATGAATAGAATTTAGTTAGGCAGAATAGTGAAGCAGGGGCCTTCTTGCTTAGTGAAGCAATCCTGGCAAAAACATTGAGGTGAGAATAAGCTCTGGTGTGTTTAGGTCTAGATTTTGATTCACAAGGTCAGGGTAGGGTCAGAAAATGAGATGAGATTAGAGGAAAATATGTTTGATTATTGCAGGATCTGTTTTCCTGTTTATCTGAAAAGCAGAAACATAATCTTGTTCTAATGTGGAATAAATTTAATTCTTTCTTACATTCAGAATCTTGAATTGTTAAAAGAACCTCACTGTGTATTGTACTTATAATAATATTTATTGCCTTCTCCTAAATTCATGATATTAAAATTTTGCAAAACTAGTTGATTTGGCTTTTTATAAAAGAGACTCCCCAATTAGTTAACATTGTTATTCTTACTAATATGATAATTATATTTATAGTAATTATTCTAGGCTGAGGGAGAAGGATCTCCTAAGCCCAGCAGGTCGAGGCTGCAGTGGCTGTGAGCATACTGCTGCATTCCAGCCTGGGCGACAAAAGTGAGACTCCAACTTAAAAAAAAAAGTAATTATTCTGAGGGCTTACAATGTCCTTAAGTGGTTTTTTAGTCTCAAGGAATGATAAAAATGATCAGTATAAATATGCCTAACTGTATTCTAACACCAATTTGTCATAGATGATAACTGTATTAACCAGAATCTTAGGTAACCTGAAATTCACCAGTCATATGGAAACAAAAATGTTTGGCTTGCTTGCTTTTGTTAAAAGATTTGAGTTTACTGGGCACGGTGGCTCATACTTGTAATCCCAGCACTTCAGGAGGCAGAGGCAAGAGGATTGCCTGAGTCCAGGAGTTCAAGACCATCCTGGGCAACTTGACGAGACCTCATCTCTACAACAAATCAAAAAACTTGGCTGGTCTCAGCAGCTCGGGCGTCGGGAGGAGGGGTAGTAGCCAGGCAGCCCAGCTTCACAAAGGCTCTTGGTGCGCCGCTGCCTGCAGGCATTCGGCATGCACCCTGTCCGCAGCCAAGATGCCCAAGAGGAAGGTCAGCTCCACCAAGGAGGTGGCGAAGGAGGAGCCCAAGAAGAGATCAGTGCCGTTATCAACTAAACCTGCTCCTGCAAAAGTGGAAGTGAAGCCAAAAAAAAGGCGGCGGGAAAGGATAAATCTTCAGACAAAGAAGTGCAAGCAAAAGGGAAAAGAGGAGTGAAGGGAAAGCAGTCTGAAGTGGCTAATCAAGAAATTAAAGAAGAGTTACCTGCAGAAACAGAGAAACTAAAACCGAGGAGAGTCCAGCCTCTGACGAAGCAGGAGAGAAAGAAGTCAAGTCTGAATAATATATCCCATGTCTTATCAGTGGTCCCTGTCTCCCTTCTTGTACAATCCAGAGGAATATTTTTATCAACTATTTGGTAAATGCAAGTTTTTTAGTAGCTCTAGAAGCATTTTTAAGAAGGAGAGATTCCTACCTCATCCCATTTTTTAAGTGAAATGCTTTTTTTTAAGAGGTGAAATCTTTCGCTGATTGTTTATTTTTTGGTACAACCAGAAAATAGTGTGGGATATTGAATTTTGGGAGGCTTTGACAGTCTTGGGTGTCAACTTAACATTCCATAGATGGGGGTTAGTTTTTATATCCTATAATGCAAAGTATACTAAGTGGCAATATGGATCACAGCCCTGCATGTAATGTCTTGAACATTTATAATTACTTCTATTTCCATGTTGTTTTTTAGTAGAATTGTTTCCTAAAAAAACACCCACTCCTCGATCATGGCCCTCCCTGTCAGAATTGTGTGCACTCTGTAACATCTTTGGTCATGGTAGTCCTGTTTTCCTAATAATTTTGTTAATGTGTTGTGAAAGATTGAAAAATTGAGTATGTTGTATATATGATAAATTGTGAATTGGTGACATGTCTGTAACAGCTTATCAACATTTGAAGATACTGGTATTGATATCCTCTTATGGAAAATTTACCTCCAAATTTTAAGCTGGAAAGCCACTGGAATAACTTTTTAAAAATAACTATACATGACTTTTTTGATTTTCAGTATGTATGTTAAGAACTGTGTACAAGACGGGCTGGGTGGCTCAGCCTGTAATCCCAGCACTTTGGGAGGCTGAGGTGAGTGGATTGCCTGAGCTCGCAGGTTCGAGACCTGCCTGGACAACTTGGCGAGACCTCATCTCTACAACAAATCAAAAAATTACCCGGGCGTGGTAGCGTGCGCCTTTAGTTCCAGCTACTTGGAAGGCTGTGGCGGAAGGATTGCCGGAGCCCAGCAGATTGAGGCTGTGGTGGCCGGGAGCGTGCACTCCAGTCTGGGTGACAGAGTGAGACTCCAACTCAAAAAAAAAAAAAAGAACTGTGTACAAATTGAAATGTCTGTGTACTGATCCTCAACACAACCAATAAACTCAATTATGAAAGACTTTCAAAGAAAAATTAGTCGGGCGTGGTGTGTGGTTCCAGCTACTTGGAAGGCTGAGACAGAAGGATCACCTGAGCCCAGCAGGTCGAGGCTGCAGTGACCGTGAGTGAGCCACTTCACTCTAGCCTGAGTGACAGAGTGAGACTCCTACTCAAAAAAGAATTTGAGTTCATTTGTCTAGGTTCATTTTTCTGTCCCAAATAATTTTATTTTTATTTTCAGATCAGTTAATATGAAGCATTTTTTATAATGCTCTGATATTACTGAATAATTTGAAATCTAAAAGAATTTATTTTCTTTCATAACAATGTAACTGAGAAATATAAGGGTAGAATTTCTGCATTATAATCTCTCCCTCCTGCTTAGTAGTTAATTTGTATTTATTAGTCAGAATGTTTTCTTGATTTATTTTGTACTCCGTGGTGCACTCAAAGAAGGAAGACTGTTGTTAACTTGTTTTGTTTGTTTTTTTTGAGTTGGAGTCTCACTCTGTTACCCAGACTGGAGTGCAGTGGCCACTCCTGGCCACCGCAGCCTCGGCCTGCTGGACTCCGGCTATCTTCCGCCTCAGCCTTCCAAGTAGCTGGAATTACTACAGGCGCGCGCCACCACACCAGCTAATTTTTTTGATCTATTGTAGAGATGAGGTCTCACCAAGTTGCCCAGGTGGGTCTCGAACCCGCGGGCTCAGGCACTTCACTCACCTCAGCCTCCCAAGGCGCGGGATTACAGGTTGAGCCACCGAGGCTGGCTTGTTGTTAACTTTTGGACCAGTTTAAAAATACTACTTTAGGCTGAGCACGGTGGCTCACACCTATAATCCCAGCACTTTGGGAGGCTGAGGTGAGAGAATTGTCTGAACCCATGGGTTCAAGACCAGCCTGACCAACTTAGAGAGACTTCATCTCTACAATAAATCAAAAAAATAGTAGCCAGGCATGGTGGCACGTGCCTGTAGTTCCAGCTACTTGGAAGACTGAGGCAGAAAGATCACCTGAGCCCAGCAGGTTGCGGCTGCGGTGGCCATGAGCGTGACCACGGCGACAGAGTGAGACTCCGACTCAAAAAAAAAAATTAATGGTAATATGACTGTAACATAGATTTTGAATTCAGGAGACTTCTTAGAGCACCTTTCAGTATTTCCCAGTGGGGTTACTGTTAACATTGTGGTAGGATAACACTGTTGTTCATTGTCTTGGGCATTACTGGACATTTTGCATACCCAACTACCACATACTAAATACTAGTAGCACTCCTTAGTCATCGTGACAACCAAAATTTGTCATGCTTACCCATATACATAATGGAGACCCATTGACCTTATCGTAATTTCAAGGGGACATTAAAAGTGGAGTCGTTTATTTAATTGTTGTCTCTTAGAAATAACTAGCTAAATTCGGAGTGATAGACCTATCAAAACACTGACAGAGGTTAGGCAGCTTGTGTTTGCTGATTTTTTTTTTTTTTTGAGGAATATGAAACAAAGGATTAATTATATTTTTTAATGTTCTGGTACCTTTTAGACTTTTTTTTTTGTAGAGACAAGATCTCACTATGTTGCCCAGGTGGTCTCAAACTTCTGGGCTCAAGTGATCCTCTTGCTTCTGCCTCCCAAAGTGCAAGGATTATGGGGTGAGTCACCACACCTGGCCACCTTATTTATTTTTAATTTTTATTATTATTTTTTGTGACATAGTCTCACTCTGTTGCCTAGGATGGGTAGCACGATGATAGCTCACAGCAGCCTTGAACTCCTGGGCTTAAGCAGCCCTCCCAAGTAGCTGGTATCACAGATGCGCACCACCACACTCAGCTAAGTTTTAAATTTTTTTGAGACAGAGTCTTGCTGTATTACCCAGGCTGGCCTTGAACTCCTGGGCTAAAGTGATCTTCTCACCAGTCTCCCGAATTGCTGGGATTACAGGCGTGAGCTATCACACCTGGCTGTGCTTGTGCCTTTTCAAGAAATATCTGTGAAGTGAGGAGTCTTGACCTTTTATGGCGATTTCTGATAAAACTAATAATTTTTATTTCTGTCAAAAGAACTTTACTAAATGTTTTATAAATATTTATTGACTTCTAATATTTCCCCAAAAATAAGTTAGGGCAGAATTATTCATACAAATCTCAGAAGATAACTTGACTACCTTATTGAATATATTTGTTTTAAGTAACCTTTCTAACTGAAGAGATTACATTCACCATACATGAAAGATTAAACATAAAAGCTAGTTACTTTAAGTGTTGGTATCTTAAGCCCAAAATGCCGTTATACTTCATAGTGTGTATAAAGCTAAAATGCTTTATAGGTTGAATCCACTACTCTGTGTTTTTTCCTTGAGGCACTTTTCAAAAAATGTCATTACATTCACATTTCAGTTTATTTAAACAGAATACTGTAGTCGCCATTGCAAAGCAAAACAAGGTTGAAAAATGAGATGCTGGTGATTATTTTACTCTGTGTTAATTGACTTGGAGACTCATATCTTTTTTTAAAACGTTGATAATAAAGCTGATGGAGTAAGAGTTGTGTAACTAAAAAACAAAGGCAGAAGCTGTAATATTATATGATCTGAGGGCTTTTATAATGCTTTTATAAAAGCAGTACATGGATGTCAGTATTTTAGGTTTTTTTCTATATTTGTTAAGTTCACATAATTTTGTGCTTCAAGATAATATTTACTTTTCTTTGAGTTGGAGTCTCACTCTGTTGCCCAGGCTGGAGTGCAGTGGCACACTCAGGGCCACCCCAGCATCAATCTGCTGGGCTCTGGTGATCTTTCTGCCTCAGCCTTCCAAGTAGCTGGAACTACAGGCGTGCACTACCACGCTCAGCTAATTTTTTTTAAATTGTGGCGAGGAGGTTTTGCCAAGTTGCCTGGGCTGGTGTCAAACCCACGGACTCAGGCAGTCCACTCGCCTCAGCCTCTCAAAGTTCTGAGATTACAGGCTGAGCCACCCCAGCCCGATGTTTTACACTTATTGTTCCCCTGGAAAACCAAAGTAGAGCTCTTTGCATTCTTGTTTGAGGTTGTAACTTTCACTTTTTTCAAGGCTTATAACAAGGAATGCTATTTCCTCAGCAGGAAAGAACAATTAGCTAATTTATTAATTACATCCTGTGTATACTTTTAATTTTTAAATTTCCTTGAAATGAAGTCTGCTCTTGATATAGTTATTAACTCTTATCAGCAATGAATAATGTTTTGGCTTTAAGAACTGAGGCACTATAAATGTTTTTATCCTATCAGAGTATGACCTTGCATAAACTATTATATTTTTTTAATGTTTCATTTTTTTACATTAATCTTTTATATTTTAGCCAAGAAGTTGCACGCATATTTTATAAAACCTTAGTGCTTATTAATTAAATATATAGCTCTCATTTGATAACTTTAACCATTTTATTGTATTGTTTCAAAATAATTTTACAAGTTATGTAAGAATTACCAGATACAGCTGGGCGCGATTGCTCATGCCTGTAATCCTAGCACTTTGGGTAGCAGAGGCGAGAGGACTACCTGAGCCCATGGCTTCAAGACCAACTTGGGCAACATGGCAAGACCTCATCTCTACAATAAATCAAAAAATTAGCCAGGCATGATGGCACACACCTGTAGTTCCAGCTACTTGGAAGACTGAGGCAGAAGGATCACCTGAGCCCAGCAGGTTGAGGCTGCAGTGGCCGAGACCAGCGTACCACTGCATTACAGTCTCAGCGACACAGTGAGACTCCTACTCAAAAAAAAAAAAAGAATTATCAGATACTTTGTTTAGGGTAGAACAAATTTAATTTAAAATTATTAAGTTCAAATTCAAGAAGTTAATTCAGCTTCATCTGTTATACAGTGATATATATATATACCTGTGACTTAGGATTTGAAGACTTGGAATCAAGACCTGTAATTTTTCATGCAGACCCTATTAGTAACTGTACTTTATTTGCAGAAGTAGCATTAGATTTATGATACTTAGGGTAATTAAGAGTATGCTTAGATGATTATATTTAAAGCTTGGGGACTTGGCTAGACTATAGCCAGGTTTCTTCTTTCCAACATTAAATTATTTCTTGTTCTTAAATATTTTAGGTTGTGGCTCAAATGATGTGGTTGATGGATCATATTTTTAAGTACACAAACTTTGGAATTGTTTCTTTACTTCATGGAGACTTCTTTATTAGACAGGTAAGTAATCAGCATTTCTTTTCATAGTGATAGCCTGGTCAGATTCATTCTTGATTATAAAAAGGCATAACAAAACCAATAATAATAGGTAGGGGCAGTTTTAGTGTCTCAGGGAGCTCTTCCTGTAAATCTTTGAGCCCTAGATATTGATCTGAATTTGAGTGTGCTAAGTATTAAAATGCTTTTAATGCAAATATTCTCATTTCTACTCTCCTCCCACTTAGAGGGTACAATTTAGTTTAGTGAACATTTATCAAATGCCTGCCACATTCCCTGCTCTTTAACTTCCTAGCAATGTGAATTAGACAAATTACTCAAACACTCAAAGTTTCTTCATTTTTCAAATGAGAATAATAGGTAGTATCCTCCTCAAATGGTTGTTGTGGGGATTAAATGAAGTAATACCTATAAGATACTTAGAACAGTGCCTGCTACCTTCGTCGTCATTTTTATCATGATTACCACTATCATATCAATATTATTTTTATTTACAATGCACTGTTATATAATAGAGAAGATATCTAAATTACCAGTAGGGAGATTGTTACATTAATTATGTAATAAATAATTAATGTAACAATAATAATAGGAAATGTTTTGGGATTCTATAGTAGGAAAAGTGAGTACATCAGATGTCTGTGAGTTCAGAAAAACTTTAGAGAAGATTATATTTGCCTTAAATTTTAAAGAATGAGTATAGATTTGGTGAAGTAAGGTGAATTGAGAAAGGTCCTAACTATTAGGAATAGTTTAGTGTAGGAAAAAGAGTCAGAACCTCATATCAAGTCTGCACTACATTATAGTGTTTCCCTGATATGCTTCTAGTATCACATGCTTTATTTTCTCCAGGTGAATAACTGAAATTTGATATGTAAGAGTTTTTATGTATGGTATACCACGCTTACTTAGTTTACATGTTTAGGTACTTAACCTGAATTATGCAGTGCCCTGCCCATAATAAGCACCTAATTAATAATTAGTGAATTTAATTAAGCCTCTTCTAAGAACCACAAATTCAGAAATAAGCTGGGAGTGGAAAAACTTCTAAATTCTATGAAAAAACTTAAAAATACATGTACTTTACTCCAGATAGTTTTATGTACAGAACGTATTTTTGTTTTTCACATGTGCAATTATCTCATTTTTTTCTGGAAACACCTCCTGTTCTTCTGAGCACTGAAACAAATAGAAGCATAGACTGGAACCTCAGGAAGAAGTGGCAATTGGGTTGGCCATAAGGTCTATACACAATAAACGATGATCAGAATTTAACAAAGAATCTAATATATCAGAAAAGACAGCAGAAGCAACAATTAGAAAGCTTAGCAATCTAGGGAAATCCAGTGGAAAAGCTAGCCAAGTTCCTTACATCATTTCCAGTTGGAAGAAAAATTTGAATTTATAGTGTAGTATTCCAATTGACTATAGTGATGATCCTTATGCATCAAGAAGAGGCTAAATTATTGGTGTACTTTGAGGGGATAAAAGTCAAATATTATGTATTCCAAAATCTTTTTCTTGTTACTACCATGTGAAGTTTTGCATATTTAAAGACATTTCAAAGTATCTGGAAGATTTACAAATTTATATCTAAAGAACAACATTTTCCCCTGATATAAGTAATAAAAATCTATAACATGGGGGGAGGGAAGAAAAGAAAAAGTATTAATGTTAATACTTTGGGACCTTGCTATTAGACCATTGTGACAAGATTGTCTAAGAATAGTGATACCATTTTATATATAGTCTTGGGAACTTAATAGCTATCTTAATTACAATCAATTCAATTCAATAAACTAGCTAAGAAAATGTCTTAACTTGTTTTGCATTTGGGATACATTTCGTTTAAAGACTGAGCACATACTAATTATTTTGAGGAGCTTCTGTAATTGTGCTAGCTGGAAAATTATTAGCAACTTGATCATACTGAAAGGAAAAGCTTCTGTGATATTTATTTGTAAGCTTTGGGCCTTTTTACAAAATTTTTCTGGATTCTTCTTTTTGGTCTTTAAGTCATCCTCTTTTCCCTCACAGCTAAGACTCAGACCATTAGAATGTCATGTTAGCTTTGTTCTCAAATTCAATTTTTTTTCCTGAATGTACCCACTTATAATTAAATCTCATCAAACTCCCTTGTGTGGAATACTGCAATAGTCTACTAACTTATCTCCTATAGTCTTTTTGTCATAAGAGCCAAAAGATTTTTTATTTAAATATCAATAAGGTTATAACACCTCCCTGTTCAAAACTGTCCACTGACCATGCACAAGGCCCTTCTTATTTAGTCTCCACTTCCCTCTGCAATTTCATCTCCTACCACTGATTCCCTTGCTCGTCACACTTCAGCCACGCTGGCCTTGGCACTGTTATTTGAACATGCCCATCTTGCTTCCACCTAAGGACCTTTGTCTTTTTTGTTCTTGTCACCTGAAATATTCTGCCTCTCATCTTCACATAGCTTATTCCCTCGCATCATCAGCTCTTTGCTCAAATGTCACCTCCTTGGAGCAGTTTTCCCTGACCTTCTTGACCGTTTCTATTCTCTTAACTCTTTTCTTCCAAACACATAATACCAACTTAATTTATACTTCATGTTTACTACCTTCCCAAACTAGAGTATAAGCTCCCTGAGGGTCTCTTATTTCCTCTTCTTTCTCTAGTGCCTAGGCCAGTGCTTGGCACATAGTAGGCCCTCAGTAAGTAGTCACTGAATTGATGAATGACTGAACTTTCAGGGGCAATCAGAACAATTTCCTTTCCTTTAAAAAGAAAGGCTTATTTATGTAAGTGTGAATAACTTTTCTCATTTTATGACTGGTCAAAAAGGGAAATAAGTAGGGGGAAGTCACTGTTCTGTTCTATGACTGGTTTTAATTTAGAAGCTGTTGTTTCCGTTTAATTTTACGGCATTTTAATTTCAAGTATACCTATACTTAATATATGTGTGTGTACCTTTTAGGGAAGATCTTATCGTGACCAACAGCTGCTGCTTCTCAAAAAGCATTTAGAAAATAATTACAGGAGCAGAGATCGAAAATGGATTGTTTTGTTTCCAGAAGGGGGCTTCCTCAGGAAGAGGCGAGAAACAAGTCAGGCATTTGCCAAGAAAAATAACTTGCCGTTTCTCACACATGTCACTCTGCCAAGATCTGGGGCAACACAAATTATTTTGAGTGCACTTGTAGCACCACAGGAAAATGGAAGTACAGCAGGAGGAGATGCTAAAGAATTAGGTATGATGGTTTTTAGCATTTTTTACCTTATTGGAATTAAAGGATTTTCTGGAATTTCGAAGATGATCATTGTTGTTTTTTTTATACTTATAATTTCTGTTAAAGAGAAATAATACTCAGGGAAATGAAATTGTAGTGTTTTTAATGTTTCTATTTAAAAAGTAGTCCATGCTTACAATAACTTATTCAAATAATGGAGAAATGCATAAAGGTGTCTTTCTCCTGCCCTGCTTATCCTTACTCTGGGCCATATCCCCTGCTGCAGAAAACATTCCTGTAAATATCTTTACATATTAATATAACTATTTCTGTAGTACAGATTCTTAGAAGTGGAATTGCTAGTTTAAAAGATACAGATACAGAAATGACTTGTTTGAAAAACTAATCATGGGTATGCAAATGCAAGTAGTAATCATACATGTTTTCATTTATCAAATTTAGAAAGTCTTTTGTTTTTAATACAGAGGATTGATTTAATACACTTTGATAGTGTTTAAGAGCATTAAAATGTTAATAAATGACTCAGTTATTCCACTGCAAATAATATTTGTCAAGAGGAGATACTCTGAAGTGTAGGCAAAGAAGTTTATTACAGAGTAGTAATAATAGCAAAAAATTGGAAATAGCCAGAAAGAGAATGGATAAGTATTTGTCAAATATCTATACAATGGAATACAACACAGCCACCACAGATTATGTTTATGGAGAGTTTTTATTGGCTGGGAAAATGTGCTATAATGTTAATATTGATTAGAGAGAACATACAACTTGTGAAAACAATTTGAGTTCACGTCTATAAGCAATAAGGCAGGAGGAAATGAGTAAAAGGAAAGATACTCAAAATGTTAGCAGTGATTGCTTCTCTGAGATGTAACATTATGGATGAATTTCCTCCCCTTATTAATACTTGATCTGAATTTTCCATTTTATAATGAGTATATGTTACTTTTATGGTTAGGAAAAAGTAAATCACAAAGATGTAACTGTTTTGGAAATAACCTGGTAAATTGTGAAGTTTCGCAGAAGGTATTTGCGCCAATAGCATGCAGACTAACAAGTTTATCTAACATGCTACTATGAAAGTTTGGTTGTAAATTAAAATCTGAAAGACACTTGCTAGACCTGTGTTCTTTGTAACGTTTTACTATTTATTTTAACATTCTTTAGTACAATAAAAATTGAAGTGATTTTTCCTCAGAAGTAATGTGTCTTTAAATGGAGATAAGGACCAAGCATAGAAATAATAAAACTGAGTTTTCCTTTCATTTGTTTTTCCTGAGCAACTACTTGGCAGTCAGCTCTCTTAATCTTTCATCATCTATTAAAAAGACAAATTGAAAGAATCTTTTAATAGAAAGGGAAAGTTCAAAATAGCTTCACTACTGGAGAGACACTAGCAATGTCAGCCAAGCCAAAGCTCTGAGGCAAATGTCTTCCAAACAAGATTAGTTGCATTAATAAAGACTGCTGTTTTAAAATAGTTCCACCCAGTCAATGCCGTGTGCTGTGGTGTTCTAGATCTCAAAGGTAGGGACAATTGTTATTGCCTAACAGTGAAGAAAATAGTTTTTCTCCTTTTGGAGAAAAATACTTTCTGTTTTATAGCCAAAGCAGAATAGTTTTTGTTTTTGTTTTTTTATCATACCTCAGTTCAAGTTTTTTATTCTGTTTAGAAAAAAATCACAAGTTACCTAAAAACCAGTTTCATCTGTATTTTACTATTTTTTTCTATGTTTTGGTATTTGCATTTTATATTCTGTTGTGCTCATATTCACTAGCATTTTATTCTAAGTAGACACAAATTATGCCTTTGTGTTTGTTTTAATATGTGATCTATGCACATATATAAACATTAAGTTCTGTCTGATTAACTTTTAAAAGATTTGGGTTTTTTTTTTGTTTATCATAGAATTTAAAAGATGTTAAACTGAACTCTGGTTATTTTTTCCCATCGTTTTATTATTTAAAAATTTCAAACATACATAAAAGTTAAAAGAATTTTACAGTGAATATACATGAACTGATCAACTAAATTCTATAATTAACATTTTAATATATTTGCTTTATCACATCTGTCTTCATCCTCTATTCATCCGTTAGTCCATCTTGGTTTTTTTTTTTTAAGCATTTCAAAGTAAGCTTCAGACATAGTGTACTTTATTCCTAAACATTTCAGCATATATGTCATTGATAACTTGTTAAAGAGTGTTTCTTTACATAAACTCTGTTGTTATAGCAATATGTTATTTTTAAATTATTTTTTGGCTGGGTGCGGTGGCTCAAGTCTGTAATCCCAGCATTTTGGGAGGCCGAGGTGAGAGGATTGCCTGAGCCCATGGGTTCGAGAACAGCCTGGGCAACTTGGCAAGACCTCATCTCTACCATACATCAAAAAACTAGCCAGGGGTGGTAGCGTGCACCTGTAGTTCTGGCTACTTGGAAGGCTGAAGCGGAAGGATTGCCTGAGCCCAGCACGTTGACACTGGGGTAGCCATGAGCTTGCCACCGCACTCTAGCCTGGGCGATGGAGTAAGACTCCAACTAAGAAAAAAAAAAGAAAAATTATTTTTTTACTTGTTTCTCTTGCAAATATTTTTTCTCTTTCAGAATGTTGTTTTAAAATCTTGAAAGAGCTGGGCAGTGGTTGCTCACGCCCATAATCCCAGCCCTTTGGGAGGCAGAGGCAAGAGGATTGCTTGAGCGTGCAGGTTCGAAACTAGCCTGGGTAACATGGTGAGACCTTGTCTCTACAATAAATCAAAAAATTAGCTGGGCATGGTAGCACACATCTGTAGTTCCAGCTACCGGAAGACTGAGGTGGAAGGATCACTTGAACCCAGCAGGTTGAGGCTGCGGTGGCCATGAACAGCCTACCATTGTATTCCAGCCTGGGCAACAGAGTGAGACTTTGACTCAAAAATAAATGAATAGATAAATAATATAATATTTAAATAATTTAAAGCCAGTTTAAAATTATTTGACATACAAAAGTAATATATCATTGATTCTTTTGTTTTGTTTTGTTTTTTTGAGTTGCTCAGGCTAGAGTGCAGTGGCACGCTCACGGCCACCTCAGCATCGACCTGCTGGGCCTAGGCAATTCCTTCCACCTCAACCTTCCAAGTAACCGGAAGTACAGGTGTGCGCTACCACGCCCTGCTAATTTTTTGATGTATTGTAGAGATGAGGTCTCACCAAGTTGCCCAAGTGCTGGGATTACAGACTTGAGCCACTGCACTTGGCCCTTATCATTGGTTGTTAGCGTACATTTGGACTGATGCTTGAAAGTGAGGTTTTTGGGGGTTTTTTGGTTTGTTTTTTAGGGATCGCTTACATATTTCAAAGAATACGCCATACACTCTGAAGTCTGGCTAACAGCATTCTCTGCAAGGATTCCCCTCTCAATGCTTGCTCAGTTTTGTATTCCATACTGGGAATAAAAACAGTACAATGGATCACACTAAACAGAACTTCCCATCCCTCTTCCACAACAGTTGTGACCTGTTATACCTTCCAAAGGGCAGGAAGGCTTATTACTTTATTTGTATATACCTCTTGATACAATTGAGGGAGTTGTTTTTGCTTTGTTTTAAACAAGAGCAGCAACTAACAATGTGTCAAAAGAAATTGCTTAATTTTATTGCCATGTTCCAGTATTTATTAATGTCTCCCAAGTATCACAAATTTTGGTGCTTGTGTTATATTATGGTAAACTTAGTGAATGATTTTGTTTTGTATTAAAGTCTATTTTTCATTTTTGTGATGTGGTACTTTAGCTTCTGGCTTTTTTGTAGGCCAATATTTTATAAGAGTATTAAATATAAATTAGACCTGGATAGTGCATAATTGTATTGAATGCATGAATGGTGCATGTCTAGTAAATAACAGTGTTCTGTTTTTATTAATTTGTTGGAGGGTCATATATTGTATAACATAAGAGGCAATACTTAATTTCATTCTAAGTAGTACCAAAGTACATCCTGTTTTCTTAAAGCAAATGGTATATCAATATACTTCATACTGCTCAAGTAATCTATGTTATTTGCTGCAGAAAATATAAAAATTGATCTAATTTAAATTAATTTTTTATTCTCAGACAGAAAATCGAAAGGCCTCCAGTGGATAATAGATACAACTATAGCTTATCCCAAAGCTGAACCTATAGATATTCAAACCTGGATCCTTGGATACAGGAAACCAACAGTCACACATGTACATTACAGGTAAGAATTCTATATTAGGACTCAGTATTGTATATCCAACAGTACTACTATTGGTGTGAATGTCTTAATATTTAGTTTTTAATCAGACAGTGGAAATAGTTGGCTCAAAAATCATTCGCTGATGAATTTTTTATATGAAAACATCATCTGAAGTATTTTACTGAGTGATATAGATCTTTAAAAATAACATTCTAGAGATGCTGTGATTATTTGATTACCTGACACTTTTGAATAAAAGTTAATTAATTTAGTTTCTTTTATTTATTTTTTTTATTTGGGTGTCTCACTCTCTCAGGCTGGGGTGCAGTGGCATGATCACGGCTCACCACAGCCTCGAACTCCTGGGCTCAGGTGATTCTTCTGTGTCAGCCTTCTGAGTAACTGGGACTACAGGTGTGCACCACTATGCCTGGCTAATTTTTTATATTTTTTGTAGAGATGAGGTCTCACTGTGTTGCCTAGGCTGTTCTCAAACTTCTGAGTTCAAGTGATTCTCCTACCTTGATCTCCCAAAATGCTGGGATAACTGGTGTGAGCCACTGTGCCGAGTCAAAAGTTAATTTAAAGAATAAACATCAAGGATAAATAAATATATAAGAGAGGACCCCCCAAAAAAACCCAGAATTATCTTTTTGGAGTGCAGGCTTACCCTGCAAGGTAAGTGTTCTTGGAACCATCCACATCAGTGTATCAGCTTGCATTGTTGTGAAAGACTGCGTTTGACTTCAGTGAATTTTTATTTTTTTTAGATTATTTCAGTGATTTACCCGTTTCATAATGGGTGATTTACAAGTGCACCTGCCCACTGAATGTTCAGCAGTTTTTGACCAAAACTAGCATGATCTCTGTGCTCCACCCTCCCTATTCACCCAGTCTCGCCCCAGCGACTTTTTTTGTTTCCAAAGAGAAACGTTTTGTCAGTGTTAAAGAGGTGAAACAAAAAAATGGCAAAAGCACTAAAAGCCATCAAAATTGACAAGTTTAAAAATGGTTTTGAGCAGTGGAAATAGTGTCTTAGAGTAGGTGTATTACATCAAGTGGAGAAGATTCTTTGAAGGTGACTGAAGCTTAAACCTGCAAGAATAAATACACAATTTTTTTTTTTGAGTTGGAGTCTCATTACCCAGGCTGGATTGCAGTGGCACACTCACGGCCACCCTAGCGTCAACCTGCTGGGCTCCAGCGATCCTTCCACCTCAGCCTTCCAAGTAGCCAGAACTACAGGCACGTACTATCACGCCCAGCTAATTTTTTTATTTATTGTAGAGATGTCTCACCAAGTTTCCTGGGCTGGTCTCAAACCCACGGGCTCAGGTATCTACTCACTTTGGTCTCCCAAAGTGCTGGGATTACAGGCTGAGCCACGGAGCCCAGCCAATACACAATTTTTTATAAATAAATTCCATTTTTGAGGTTCCTCCCTCATATACTTGCTTGGGCTAAATAAATATGTATTAACAGAATTAGAAAATATTTTAAAATCATTAATCCACATAAGATTTTCTGAATGATTAAATTGATGATTTAGATGACCGACACTTTTAATATTTTAATATGCCTATATGTTATTTTCATAGACAACAGCAAAAACTTTCTTTTTTTTTTGAGTCTCACTCTTTTGCCTAGGCTAGAGTACAGTGGCACACTCATGGCCACCACAGCCTCGTCCTGCTGGGCTCAGGCAATGCTTCTGCCTCAGCCTTCTAGTAACTGGAACTACAGACGTGTGCCACCATGCCTGGCTAATTTTTTTAAGGTATTGGAGAGAAAAGGTCTCGCCATTTTGCCCAGGTTGGTCTTGAACCCAACCTGGGCTCAGGCAGTCTTCTTGCCTCTGCCTCCCAATGTGCTGGGATTACAGGTGTGAGCCACCACACTTTGGCAAAAATCATTTATTTTTTATTTATTTAATTTATTTTTAAAAATTTATTTATTTATTATAAAGATGTGGGGTACAATTAAGGGTTAGGTATATAAACACCAATCATGCAGGTACCCTTGTTGATGAGGTATGCCCCTCCCTCCCCTAGCAGTTTCCCTCAACTGCCAGTCCTCCCCCACCCCTGACAGTTTTCCAATACTGCCAATTGCTTTCTTATAGCATTATAATTGTTCAGGGTCACCTTATGAGTAAGAACATGTGGAACTCAGTTCTTTGTTTCTGTGATAAATCACTGAGTATGATTGACTCCAAATCCATCCAAGTTGCTGCAAAGTCCATATATTTGTCCTTCTTTATGACTGCTTAATATTCCATTGTGTATATGTACCGCATTTTTTTTATCCAGTCCAGCTTCAGTGGGCAACAGGATTGGTTCCATGTTTTTGCTATTGTGAATAGAGCTGCAAAAACATACGTGTGCAGGTATCTTTTTTGTAGAAATATTTGAGTTCCTCCAGGTATATTCCCAATAGGGGAATTGCTGGGTCATATGGAAGATCAATTTCTAGTTCTTTCAGATATCACTACACTGTCTTCCAAAGAGGTTGTACTAGTCTGCATTCTCACCAGCAGTGTAGAAGCATTCCTTTTTCTCCACATCCTTGCCAGCATCTCTTGTTGTTTGAAAAACATTTATTGACTATCTAGTCTGTGCTAGCTTCTTGAGATTATTTTAAATACAGATTGTTTTTTAGGAATTTTATGTAAATGTGTGTAGGTACTTAACCATGGTGCTGATAAGATCTGTGTAAATTTGATCAACTATAGGCTATTTAACCTTACTCTGTTTCCTTGTTAAAAACCTCAGTCCGCCGGGTGTGTTGACTCATGCCTGTAATCCCAGCGCTTTGGGAGGTGGAGGCGAGAGGATTGCCTGAGGCTTTGGGTTTGAGACCAGCCTGGGTAACTTGGCAAGACCTTGTCTCTACAATAAATAAAAAACAATCAGCCAGGCATGGTGGCACGCACCTGTAGTTCCAGCTACTTGGAAGGTTGAGGTGGAAGGATCACCTGAGCTCAGCAGGCTGAGGCTGTGGTGTCCACGAGTGTGCCACTGCACTCTAGCCTGGGCAAGAAAGTAAAACTCCTACTCAAAAAAATAAAAATAAATATAAAAATAAAAAATAGGGCCTGGTGTGGTGGCTCAAGTCTGTAATTCCAGCACTTTGGGAGAGAGGATTGCCTGAATCCAAGGATTTGAGACCAGCCTGGGCAACTAATGAGACCTCATCTCTACAATAAATCAAAAAATTAACTGGGAGTGGTAACTAGCACCTGTAGTTCCAGCTACTTGGAAGGCTGCCACAGAAGGATCGCCTGAGCCCAGCAGGTCGAGGCTGAGGTGACCGTGAGTGTGCCACTGCACTCCAACCTGGGCGACAGAGTAAAGAAGTCAACTAAAAAAAAATTAAAAAATAAAAACCTCAGCCCACAGCAACTAACAAATGTGAGGAATTGGTCCCAAGAAAATCGCAATTGCAACAAAAGCCCTCAGTTAAAAGGAAATTAAATTATGTACCTATTGATAGTAGATAGGTAACATATTTTCATGTGTATAAACCATCAGAATTTTATAAATATAAGTATAGAGCTGGAAGAAATTAAAACTTAAATTTTAAAACTTAAAATTAAATAATTATAGTTAGAGTTTTTTATGTGTGAGGGATGACTAGAAAATTACAGTTGATTCTGATGTGTGACTTAACTTATATTGCTGAATTATGAAGTTAATGTATAAGGTAGGAGTATAATTCTTGATGACTGTTCTGACTCTATTTCACATATGTTGTTCATTTTAAGTTATTGAGCACTTACTATGTACAAAAAGCAGTGTGCTAGACTCTGGAAGAGTTGCCCTAGGAGCAGTTTTATTTTCACATATATATGAAATATGTATCTTTGTTTGTTTGTTTGTTTTTGAGTCAGAGTCTTACTCTGTCGCCCAGGCCGGAGTGCAGTGGCACACTCACGACCACTGCAGCCTCAACCTGCTGGGCTCAGGTGATCCTTCCACCTCAGCCTTCCAAGTAGCTGCAACCACAGGTGTGTGCCATCATGCCCAGCTTGTTTTTTTGATTTATTATTTTAGAGATGAGGTCTCGCCATGTTGCCCAGGCTGATCTCAAACATGTGAGTTCAGGCAATCCTCTCACCTCTGCCTCCTAAAGTGCTGGGATTACAGGCATGAGCCACTGCGCCTGGCAATATAAAATATATCTGGCCTTCAGTAAGTTTTGAAATTATAATCTAAATAAATGAAGGGCAGTGTTAATACCCAAGCTAGAAATACATGGCTATTTGATATATGTGTTAGATACAGATAGAGTGTATCTTCATTAGATGTATGTAAAGCTTCCAAGTAAATCATACCCAAAATAGAACCAAGACAAGGAGTAAAACATTCTTTTTTTTTTTTCTGAGTTGGAGTCTCACTCTGTCGCCCAGACTGGAGTGCAGTGGCTGCTCCCGGCCACCGCAGCCTCGACCTGCTGGGCTCTGGCGATCCTTCCCCCTCAGCCTTCCAAGTAGCTGGAATTACAGGCATGCGCTACCACGCCCGGTTGATTTTTTTTGATTTATTGTAGAGATGAGGTCTCGCTGCCCAGGCAGGTCTCGAACCCATGGGCTCAGGCAGTCCACTCACCTCAGCCTCCCAAAGGCACGGGATTACAGGCTGAGCCACCAAGCCCAGTTTAGGAGTAAAGCATTCTATTATGTAGACCTTCTAGTATAGTTGACTGTGCTTTTCTTCTTAAATCAATAAATAGGGAAATTTTTAGTTTTTAGATCATCAGGACAAAGTAAATGGAATCATACAGGATCTTAGAAATTGAAGAAATGATTTGGCTGCTATAATCCCAGCACTTTGGGAAACTGAGGTGAGAGGATTGCCTGAGCCCACAGGTTCGAGACCAGCCTGGGCAACTTGGCAATACGTCATCTCTACAATAAATCCAAAAAAAAAAAAAAAAGTTTCATTTTTAGCAAAATCACTTTGGCCAGGCTCAGTGTCTCAGCCTGTAATCCCAGCACCTTGGGAGGCCAAGACAAGTGGATT